CTACGAACGTAACTAGTTACACAAGTGGGTTGACCTCGTTGTCGCAAATTAGTCTTGTTGTCAGGGTGACAATAAAGCCCATCTAGTTCGAAGTCGCCTGCCATAGTAGTTATCATAATTCCCAACATCATACAGTGAACGTGGTACATTCTAAAACCTTTCGCCGGCATCATCAGCGAGTTTTGCCATTCTCCGCACTAAACAAACTCGTCAAAGGATCGAATTCACTTGTATCTTTGATGAATTCGTAGCTTAGTGCTGAGAATGGCAAAACTCACTGATGATGCCGACTACGATGCCAGCGAAGCGTTTTGAGAATGGACCAAGTCAACTGTCTGATGCTGGGAATTATGATAACTACTGTGGCAGACTTCGGACGAGGTGCGCTTTACTGTCACCCTGACAACAAGACCAAGTTTCGACAACGAGGTCAACCAACCTTCTTTCATGTATCGGTTTCGTAGTTAAAGTTGGTCTAATAATATAATCTGAGGCGAAGGATATATTTATGAGAGGTATAAAGACCAAGATAGTGTGGCCCTTTGTATGGTCGCAGTCTCATTTTATTGTATAGAAGTTGTTTGACCAAGTTGCGAAAATAAGGTCAAACAACTTATATATTCGTGATAGTTCTAAGTCTAGAAGTAAACAGATATGCATTACTTACCAAAAGAGAAGAGGTGCTGGCCGATAGAGAAGCTAACGAGGCAACATCCATCTGGTGATGGGCTGACTGGTTACTAGCAGAGCTTCCACCAGTCCCGGAACCAGTGGCGCATACAAGAGGACTCGAACTGCTGGGAATTGAAGAGATACTACCAGCGCCCAAACCTCCGCGCCGGCGTTGGAGGCCGGTGGTGGACAATGGCTCATCGGGCCCCGTCCCGAAATCGCTTATATTCAAAACTGAAATCGAGTCGGCCTAGAAGAGGAGGGAAAATAATTTAAACTGATAAAAACCAACTCAGATATAGCATACGGACAAAAGATTCTGGTACACAAAAAGAATTAAATTACTTTTATGGGAAACTAAGACCTTCAGATAAATCAGCCCATTTAAGAAAGTTGGAAAAGTTAAGATGTAGGATAGGCTTTAGCCAAAATACAACTTCCCAGGTGAATGATAATCAAAGCTCATTTAATTATCAGAAAATAGATAGGAATCATAAAGACAAGGGATTTTGAGGTGTAGCTTAATATGCGTAAAATTTGCTAAGGCATAAGAAAAAAATAAACGAGTCTCAGCTCGTATAATAAATCAGAATCCATACTTAATTAAGATAAGATAGACAAAACAAGAACTAGAATTAAATAATATATAAAATCCCCAAAATAAAACGTATAGCAGGCGATTCATAGAAATCCTAACGGAAAACATGTCAATGCTATTTTAAATTTAAACAAAAAA